CTGTAGACTTCTCTGACGTTTGTGAATTGCACAAGTATTAATGAAGAACTTTGGGTAAATTCAAAGGTTTTCTTGCACTAAAACTTATAATTTTCCCCAAGTTCTGCACTAATACTTATACATTTCATAAACGGCAGAAAAGTCTATTGCTTTTATTGTGATAAACCACTATTTGTAAGTGGATTTCCTTGTTTACCGACAATATCTGGGCTCAAACATGTGATTTCTTACTGCCATTCACACTATCATGAGGCATTTTAATATTTGTAGTGGTATCAACTACAATCTTCATACCGCAAAACTGGCAGGGCGACATCTGTCGAAATTGATGGTGGAAACTATTACTCAATTGCATGCTGTGTGAGTGAAGTTAAGCCGTGTGAGTCGCCTGTTTGTGAGTGACTGCATGTTTTTTTTTGTTGGCTCTTTCATTGCCTCGCCCTGTGCCGTTGGGTCCCCTGACTGTTAGAGCAATGCATTACATTGGCTTCTCGCCACAAGATCGCACTAATGCAACGTTGCTAGTGTAGCCGTGTAAAATCGATTTGTTTATTATTTTCAACCACGAAATCAGCTGTCAATGTGTTCGACTTGACAGCGGTTTGTTTTTTTTTTTTAATTTTCAACCAGTAAATTGTATGTATTAGTGAAACTGCTCACTAATACTAACGGTGGTAGAGAACTCTATAGTGTAGTGCATTCACACTAAGCCTAGGGGTCTTTCTTAGCTTAGTCGGCCCAAGCTACAAAGCAAGACCACACTGGAGGTGGCTGGGTACGATTCCCGGTCCGGTCTAGTCGTTTTTCGGGTTGGATTTTTTTTGACTCCTGGGCATAGTGTGTGTATGATTGTACTTGCCACACTATTTGTACTAATGCAAAAATGGTACAGGCATAAAAAGCTCTCAATTAAACACTGTGGAAATGCATCTAAATCAGTAAGTTGAGAGCACGCATTAAGCTAATATGCGATAAGCAATAAACTTGAAATGCAGAAGAAGATCAATATTCACACTCAACATAAGTATTCAATAATTGTATGCTCTGGCATGAACGCAAGAATCTAGAATCCGGGAGACTTAGAAGCTGACAACTCTACCGTTGATCAAATAGCCCAATTCAATTGCTTTTCAGTTACTTTGAAACTAAATCTACACTAAAATGACAAGATTTGGTCGTTTAAACAAGGTTGAACATGTTTTGAAATAATTTTTTTTAATTCAATGGACTTGAATGGTCAAAGTTTTACCGAAAGTTCAGCTGTTATGATTTCGGTAAAATTTACCGAACACGAAAACAAAATCTTAGTGTGTTACTTATTAAATGGGTAAAAATGTCACCCATTAAGATACTAAATAGGTATTTTTTACGCACTTTCAAGTTAGCGTGTAGTAAAAGTTTGGACGTCTGCCGAAAGCTGTTCCAAACACTGTCAAAATGCACTGCACGCTATTCTGGGGCTACTTATGTTTGAGTTGAAAATCTCTCAGTTTGAGCAAAAGGGAACCTACTCAAAAATGAGTATACATACTAAGTTGGGAATGACAAGTCGATAAATGGTCAACAGCGACCTGAATCTGATCGATGTTGTTTATTTCTCAACTCAAAGTTTACTCATTTTGTGTAGGTTCCCTTTTGGCTAAACCGAGTGATTTTCAAAAAAAGATGAGAAGCCGTGTGACGTGTTCGATTAGAACATGATTGAAAATGTTCGTATGAAATCAATAAAGTAGTAAATAATAGGATGTAGTGTACCTTTGTGGAGTGTGATGTGATGTATGTTATCGACCACACTGAAGCAACATTTCACCCAATCTCTATTGGCGAAATCTTTTAAATTTCATTGGATGTCCAATGAAGATATTGCTTTGAAAAATTCAATGGAAGTTATTTGTCAATGATTTTCATATGACCACCATTTAAGACACATAGTTCGGAGAACGTAGCCATCTGCAAACATATTGCTGTCTTCCGGAACATCAATACTCGCTTTCAAACAACGGAAACGAGTAGGACTCGGTTTGATCACCGTTAAGCAATGCACTTTTTTGCTATTGTTATATATTTTAAATGTAAATTTAAATTTGTCATGAGCAAATCACGCAGAAATACATAAACACGTCAATTGAGCAGCGCAACCTACTTCGATCCCTTGATAAGTATACTATAGGTAGGGTAAGGTAGAGAAAAGTTCGACCTTAGTAGAAATCTCGGAAATAGTGGTTTTCCACTATAAATGCAATAGGGTCGCATTTTTGTCAAAGTTTTTGTCACATGCTGCTCCATTTATGATTGTTTAGAGTAAATAAATACGCGTTAGAAAATTTGTGACTCGAAGTTCTGCCTCACTATAGGCAATTCTAGCTTCCTGATAACATATCAAAAGTCTGATACTCCTAAAATCATCTTCAAGAAAAACGCAAACTAAAAGAAAATTACCCCGTCACTGCTGAATTTTTCCTGTTGCATATCAACAAAGTTAGTAGAAATGTTATAATTTATCTTCCCGAAACACACTTTTGCCTAAAAATCATGTAAAAATAAAGGTGCTCTGAGACAGACATATACGAGCGTCAATTTTGACATAAAATTGAGTCATAACAGACGCGAAATTCAACTCAAACAAACGTACTTTTCATCGAGTAATGAACTTTTCAGTCGCGGAGCACTTAATTTTACATGAAATATTTGTTTACGTCTGATCCTTTATGTCAAAGTTAGTTATTTCTTAGTGTGTATAACGCTTCGAAAACACCACCAATTGTTGTGTCTGGCTCTCAAAGACCAAAACAATTAGTTTTATTTTGCACAGGCGTCGAAAACCTCAAAACGAACTTTTGCCCCAGCTCACTATACTCTATAATCATCAGCCTTCTGAAAGATTTTTCAAAAAATCGCCTGGAAGGTAAAATTTTTACATAACAGTCGTTAGATTAGTTGTAAACAAATATCAATGATTGTGTCACGTAAAATTACATGGCAGGTTGCCTAATGCAATAAATTAGACGACGTCGTCTTGTTGGGCTAACGTAGGGTGCTGTTGCAAGTTACCCCATTTTGCGGTAAGGTATACCGTGGCAAGCTGAAACGCGCGGGGAAGTTGAAACGGTAAAGGGCCACGCACATTAGATCCGGATCGGACGCGTTGCGGCAAAGTGACAGCTAAATCTATTGTCTAACTGTCAAATTTACGTCAACGCAACGCAAACGGATCTAATTTGGGTGGCCCTTAAGTGTATCTCTTAGCGGAAGTGAATATTCACTGTAATTATTTTTGAGAGGCATTGTGTACTTCCGCAAACTACTAGATTAGAAATAATCTAATTGATTATTCACTTCCGCTAATAGATACACCTACCGTTTCAACTTCGTCAAGCATTTCAATTTGTCCCGGTGTACCTTATTTACGATGTTGGCGAGCATGATGTTATTTACGTTTCAAAATATTACCCCTTATTACTACATCAAAAAGAAGGTCGATGTTATTCGGTCAAATGCTTTCAAAATGTGATATTACATACATCTAATATATATTGTCTTTTTATCTCAAAAATGAGGTTATGCCGAACCGAAATGAAAATACACTGAATTTATTTATAAAGAAAATGATTCTTTAGCGTTTTAAAGCGTTAATATTTCAAATACTTTTCCGAATTTCAGTAGATTTTTGTTGATTATTGGTTCGAAATGAACGCGATTCGCGTGGCTGGTATTTCAAACATGAATTAATTAATTTAGCATAGTAATTTTGCACATCAAATTCTACATACAAATCAACATAAGATACCCTATTCTATAGTACTGAAACCCATTTCAAATATGTAACACGTTTTCATATTCACTTACCTTCAAGTATTCAACCACGACTATTATGCTATTCACCTCACTTAATACATTAAAAAGAATGCCTTTGTTTCAGACACAGACAGCATGACTCATTCTCCTTTTCCTAATGCACTTGAAAGAAAACTTTCTCCAACAGAATATACAGAATAAAAATAAAAATAAAAATATGAATTCCTCGCTTAACATTAAGTATAATCGTGTTTAAATACTATTGCAACATGTATCAAAGATTGCTTCGAAGCTTAGCTCCATAGTATATATGGTTTTCTTTCTATTCCCTACTAGCGCATCTGTTTGAGAATGTTTAGTTTTTTCCCCTGTCGTCCTGCTATGTAGCTATTCTTGTTTCTTGTGTTTGAGACTCGAGTAGATGCTTGATTATTATTTTTTGGTTAATTCAACAAAAGTATCAGTTTAAGTAACACTCACAGACAAGATATGTTTTGTCCCTGAGAAAAGAATATCTGTTTGAAGTTTTTTACACTTTAGAACTCTGGTTGGATTGTTGAACCTGATACGCATTTGAATATTCAATGCATCGAGAGTTGAGTTTGAAATCGTGAGTTGTCAGGTATTTAGAGAGAACCTGTTGTGAAAAGTAGTTGATAGTTTTTTGAGTTTTTGTTCATATCGATTGTTCAATGAGTTGTCGTTTCTTTTTACCTTTGGTTTCATTTGTTTTTTTCCTTTTATATTTATTTTCTAATTTCGATTGTAGAGCGAAGAAGCGGGAGCTAAAACCACAAATATGTTAAATATGCAAGGCGGTAAGCTTATATCTTAATGGAATTTGTTCGACTACGTTTGAAAATTGCAGTTGGTACATTGACTTAACAAATACTAATGACAAAATTTGCGAAAGAGCGTGATCAACGTTTTCCTTAACTTGGCTTAAACAGCAACATTTTGAAAAGAGAGTGTGCAAAAATTGTAGTGATTAGTGAGCGAGGCAGCGAGTCGTTGCATTTAATTAAGTAAACTAATTGATGATTGTAATCAAAGATAGTGTATACTGACTTTTGTAAACAGAGCAGGCCTGTATTGTTTCTCAAATAGATTAGTTAGGAAAAAGTTACTTTAAGGTTTCTGCTATCCTAGTGATACAAATGAGACAGTATTTGCTAAGATGCGATTTGTGATATTTTTCGATCTAGAGCACTGAAGTGGGAATGCGTACCATCGTCATGCTGGACGAACAAGGAGGTAAGACATTAATCACTTGTTATCAACCACTATTAATCATAGCCACGTGGAATATGGGTTAGTTTTTGTTTTCGGCAAAATCGTAATGTGTGTAAATTGAGTAATTTTCTTAAATTAAAAACACCTTTGGCTGAAACCGAATTCAGGAAGCAAAAACTAACAATATGTTTATCATTACTAAAAAAAAAATATCTGTGTATGAGGGTAAGAAAATAATATAACTAAACATCGGAAACCAAAATATTTATAGCATGCAGGCGTATCATATATTATATTAGGTACACCGAAATAGCAACTTCAAAACAAGTTATTATCTATAATGCCTTCTCTAAAAACAATTTATCCTTCCAGTTTGTGTAAAATGTATAGGCCAAATAACAGCAAACAAAACAAATCTATAATCACAAATCACTACAATGTACTACGTACAAAAAAACGTGCACTGAAACTATATTGCCATTCACTAACAAAACGAGTAAACAGATATTGAAAAATCTAACAAAAAATATGCAATCATTTTGTCCTACGACCAGTAACAGTACTAAAACATCAGCACCGCACAGAAATTAACCACATTGAACAACTAACGCAAACTCTGCTTCTTATTGCCTTACAATTATATATCAAAAAGAACCTCACCACAACATACTACAAATTCTCAAAGTAGACCCACAAGTGAGTACTGACATAACTTACAACGTATTCCAAGAAAACACGAATTCTATCTCTTTCTATATCGTTTTCGTTCTGATCTTTCTTCTTTATGTTTCGTGTTGTTTCCTACAATTTTTATTATGTCCTTTGGTTCAGTTGATTATTTTACTAAACTAATTTAGTGAAATTAGGTTTGTTTTTTAAAATTTTTCCATAGTTAGTAAACTGTTAGTACAACCTATTCTATTATCTCTAGAATCCTTAGGATTAAGAACCTTATGCAGTTAAAAAATTGATTACAAATATTGTCCACTTGGAATTGATTGAATGTTCTGTTGGGTTTCATTCAATTGAATGATATGAAAAAAAAAATCAGCAGTGGTGTTTTGTTCAAAATTTCTGCTGAAGAATCTTATCCTATTTCCTATTTCCATGATTACTGCTGCCATATTTGGTGTAGTCATTTTACTAATCACTGTATTGTCTGAACTAGGTACCTACAAGATTTGTTCCTCATTAAACACATTAGCGCCCGAATAGGCTACGTGTACCCAGCACCTTACTCCGCTTGTGGCGAAGCCAACCAAAACTTGCAAAGAGGGTGGTATGATTTAACTTATTAATTCAGCAAAATTAATTACAGCATTAATGATAATTCAGTACTTTTTAATGAATAAGGATTCAATGAACTTTTAAGTTAAATTCAAACGTCGAATTAATCACGAGTTGTATCAAGTATGTAACGGCATGCTAGGGTAATGACATGTAGCACAGATGCCGCAAGAAGGATAAGCGAAAATAATATTCAGTGAAAATTCTGACCGAGGTTATCGGCTTCTGGCAGACCTCACACACGTTGATTTTTTTTACAGTTGATCCCTTAACGGCCTTGACGACTGAAAGCCATTGGCTCAAGGCTTTCTCAAAGAGGCTTTTCCTCATCCAACATTTCATTAAGATGAAATTACATTGCATAAAAAAATACACAAATGACCCTGTTCAGGAGAAAATAATAATCTTCAGACGGCGTACATATTCACAAGAACTACTGTTGAAAAGTAAAATTTCACATTTCTTAAATTCTTTATAAGGAAATTTTTTGAAAAATTTCGTTTTGACGTAGAACTACGTCTTTGTCGACAATACAGTATTATATTTTGCATAATTCTATATGCGTATACGAATACGCGGTAAACTACATAATGATGATGTGTGATAATTTTATGTTAGGGTTGTCCTCCAAATTGGAGAACAAAGAGGTGTTTAAAGCCCGTATGGTCGTTATACCTCTTCCTCCCCTACTTCGCTGACATATGAACCAATATTTTGTTCAATATTGAAAGTACCGTTTTCTGTACACTCTCTTCTCTGCTTCAGAGACCTAATTTAAAACTAGTGATGGAGCTACTAAAAAAATGAACGTATTTTTTGGCAGTTGTTATATCCCACAACATGCATTGCGTCTTTGTGGACTATTCTGGAGTGCTACTCCAAAATATATAACGGCTTGTTTAGGACCCCACATTTGAATTTTCATAATTTCAAGACCAACAATTGAAATGGCTTTAACTCCATTTTGTAAACAAACGAATGAACGGTTCGCGAGAAAATGACTTTACAAGGTTTGTTTACAAAATGGAGTTAAGGCCATTTCAATTGTTGGTCTTGATTTATTACATTCCAGGAAAAATACTTGAACCAACATTGAACCATAACCGAAACAATGAAATATATTACTTGAAAAATTTAAGATAAAGTATAATAGTCAAAAATGCATGACATACATTGTGTAGTTCTACGTCATACTGCAGTCGTGTCTAGGACACAAACCTTTAATTTTTTTTTTCTTTCAAAACAGGAATTCTGGTCACTAAAATGTATTCACAGTTTTCTACTTTCCAAGCGAAAGACAGTGAACAAATTTTCATGAACGGCATTGATTTTGATTGAAAAACTGCTTTTGAATTTTTTCAAAAATATTCCGCGCCCTTTTCCCGTTAACATTAATTAATAATTTAACTGTATATTCAACTATGATTTTTATATGAAATTGAAATTAATTTTTTACTTTGTTGGTATTAATTTGTGAATTAGCCGAGTTTTCAGATTTATTGACTGGAAAAATCATACATAGCGTAAGACGGGGTGACATTGGGCCTAGTGGGTGACATTGGGCCAAACTAGATTTTTTTTTATTGATGCAAATATCTTGAATATACAGCAAATGATGACTAGAATATGTTTCTTGAACTCCTGGAGTGAAGTGGAGTCAACATTAACCATTTGTTTTATTTAAATAGTGCTTTGAAGTCAAGTGTCATAAATAGTAGCAAAAAAATGTTTTTTTTTTAAATGCACACAAGCAAAAAATAGTTTGAACACACTTGTATGTGGTTAAAAGAGGGTTACAAGCGATCTTTAGCCATACATACGAAGTATGTTGGGATCATTTGTTTTTTTTAGTCAAATGAGTTATAAATTTTAATCAACTATTTTCATGACAGTCGTAAATATATCATTATATTCACATGCTTCAAACAATATATTTTAATATATGCACATGCTTAAAATTGTTTTTTTTTTTTGCTAAAATGTGAATGTTGTAGGGAACGAACATTTTTGATTTTTTATTCAATATCACCCCCACTGACGGTACCTCATTGTATTCAAAACTCTTTTTAGTAGATCACATTAAGCTTAATTTTAAATATCAATGATTAATTTTACGGCTTTATCTATAATGATCTAAAACATAGAATTAAATCGACATAAGTCCCGCGCATTATCCATCGGGATCTGATCCGTTGCAGCAAAGTGACAGAAAAATCTATTGTATTATAACCTCTGTTGGAAAAGTTCGCGATATTTCACGAAGTTCACCAAGGGAAAAGTTTGCGGGTTATAGTGAGTTTTCGCGGACTTTTCGATCACTGTGTCTAACTGTCAAATTTGCCGCAATGGATCAGATTTGGATGCATTGAGCGTGGCTATTGAGGGAGGTGCAAATAAATAGAATATTCAATGAAAAAAAAAACATCGGGTTAAAGATTTTAAAATCACCTAAATGATCTTAAAACGTAAAAAAAAAGCCTTTTAAACGCTAAATGGTTTTTGTACCCTCGGAAATTACCATAAAAGCACCAACATGGCCTCAAAACCACTTTATTTACCATTTCAATCGCTAAAAACGCTTCTAAAATTATTTGCAGCGGTCCTGTTAAATGAGCTTTACAACGCCAAAATGGTATTCAAATGGGTTTAAAAATGTAAAATTACCTTTAAAACCTTAATTTTATAGAAATTGCTTAAATTTCTCGTTCAGGGAAAAGCAAACATATAATTTCTGAACTATATGTTATTCTTTGTATAATAGGGCCTGGGAGCCAGGGACCGGGACAGCCAATGATTGTATTATTTAATTCTCATCTAGTTTCGATGTCGATGGGTTTGGTCATGTCATATGATCCGTATAAGATACCCATTATACCAAGTAACATTAAAGGGTTTTATGTTAGCCTTCTAGTCAATTCTAAGCTTTTTAATGACTGTATCGAAAATAAGTCTTGTCTACGACTTCCTTCCATAAAAAATGCTTTAAAATAAGAAAAAAAGTTCTTTAATTATGTATGTCATGTTCTTCTTAAGGAGTTATACCAAATAAAACAATATTCTTTTGAGCACTTTTGTAATGATAGATTTTGCTCCACGTTTGGACAAAGTGAAAAAAACAGGTTTTTCGTACTTTTTAAATCCATCTGCTTTTTTTTAACTCTTTCATGATCTAATTAGCCTTAGAATCCATGGAAATGGTTCTGAAGAAAACGCAACAAAAATATCAATTGTTTTGGCCTATTTATGTACCTACGTTATTCTTGCTGAAAAATGGAAAAATCAGAAATTAATATTTTTCCGAGAACAACCCATTATATTCGTTTGTTCACAACTACAACCTATTGAATGCCGATTACTGATGCTGAATAGCAATATTAAAAGCATCTTCAAAAGAATATTAAGACTTCTCAAATTTTGAAACACTAAAAAAAAAACAAAACACTAAAAAAACTACTGAACTACTATACGAGGAATCAAATCTAAGAGGATATCAGTCCCATAAAGATTGTTTGTTTGTTTGTTTGTTTGTTTTTTAAAAAAAGGACATGACATAATTAGTCGAAGAGCACAAATTTCGGGTTTGGAAAGAAAATAAATGTTTACCACTTATTTTCGATACAGTCCTTATGGAACATGCATAAATTACGTAGCAGGTAGGGGTTTCAGAATTTGTGACCGGCCATGTATTGGATATAGCAAAATACGTTAAGAGGGGAGGAGGGGTTTAAAAATGATCAAAAATATGCTACGTCATTTATGTATGCTCCTTTACATCCTTTCAAACCCATTATAACCTAAAATTATTACTTGGGATATGACAAAAACTGTACTTTTTTCTCATGTGATTTGATGTGTCACATGATAAGTTTAGATCCAAGTCAGAAACTGGCCACCTCCTCGGGGGTACCTGGAACATGCCTAGATGTGGGGAAATGTGGTTCTGAGAACTCGATATTGACCACCATTGATTTTGTTTTAGAATTATCATGTTATTTGTTGTGTGTCGCATTATGGTTTTTAACCAAGTCAGAAACATAAGGTGTAGTGGCGGAGCCGCCGGGATGTTCTGAGGCATAACGTCTCTGATCACGGGAAATAAAGCCGTTGGTCCCCGGTTCATGAGTTGACGGGTCGATACGTAACGAATTGAATTCATCCATACAAATTGCTTATTTTCCACCAGTGTGTAGCGTTACTGAGTTATAAAAGTTCGTAGTGCTGTACCCGAATTATTTTATCTTTTAGAATTCTATTGCAATATTCATGACTGAGAAAGTGATTGTCACATTCGATTACCGAATTGCCGATTGCCAGGGTTTTTCGATAGTATTGACTATTCCCTTGGCATTCCAAAGGTCATGAGACAATTATGCAAATAGTGTGCTTCGTGGACTTGCGGTTTACTTTTTTGCTTCCGGGTGCACGACAAAACAAAACTTTAAATGATGAAAGGATACTTAAAATTCTAGAGATAATAGATATATTGAGATATTTGTAACAAGTTTAGTGTTTAAAACGTTAAATGTATTTGTTTTGGTTCAAACGAATCCATTTATTTTTTATTTATTTTATTTTATATACTACACAGTTATCAGTGACAATCTTACTCCATATACCTTTACATTGCCCTTTATACTCTTTGTTCCAGTTGATAGGAAACGGTTGCATTCCTTTGAAACGTATAACTCAATACTAGTAGAATATCCTACCTAGTTCACATTGCCTTTTAAAGTTTACACTTATCAGCGATAGTCAGACATTAAATTTATTGCATGCAGTATAAACTTTTTATCCCTAAGTAGCTATAGCAAACCTCCACTTGTAATCAGCCAATTTTTCACATTATGAAAACATTCATCATAACATTTGAAGCACTCTAAAACCTCCCATAAACCTTCATCTCTATCTAACTGAACTAACCTCATCGCCAATATGATTGTCGATCTTTCCCTATCACGCTTCTAACCCCGCATAAAACTGTGTATTATATCCAAATTATCGAAATAAAACCTCATTGACTATGGTCAAACACATTGCTGATTTTCGTATTTCCCTGTCTTGCCTGATGTTTCCATGTGTTATTGAAATAACGTACAACCACGACCATCACTACCGCTACAGAACAACTGGATCGCATCGAGGAGGGTATGGATCAGATCAACGCCGACATGCGAGAAGCCGAGAAAAATCTCAGTGGAATGGAGAAATGCTGTGGCATTTGTGTATTGCCGTGCAATAAGTATGAACATTTGGCCATCCTTAAACTTTCTACCTACACCCTAGATGCGTTTAAACTAACTCACTCTACTTTGTTTTTGGATAAACTTGACATTCTTATCGATTAATTGCCTTAGAATATTTATATACAAAAGCACTAACCTTCTCTGTCCTCGCAGTCGATGTTTATACTAATCAACACATTTTTCTATTACAACCCTGCGTGCAATAACGTGACGCAAATAGGAGTGCATCATTCAAGGAAGACGATGGCACATGGAAAGGTAACGACGACGGTAAAGTTGTGAATAATCAGCCACAAAGAGTTATGGACGACCGTAATGGACTAGGACCACAAGCGGGTTACATTGGAAGGTATTTGTCAACAATTCGATCTATTATGTTGCTAATTGATGTATAAAAAAAAATGCAAAAAGATGCAAGCGTTTAAATTACGCACAGTTTATCATAAAATTAGACACCTTTCACTATCGCACTGTATACTGATCGTTCAAATTGGAAACAGAGTTTTTCAACGATTCAAAATCCAATCAATACATTTAAGTTATGATAGTTAAAAAAAATGGGAGATGTTCCAACAATACAACCGCTAACATTACAAAGACCTGGAAATGTGATTTTAAAACCACCATTAAAAACTGAAATTCGGAATATTTTAAATAATTCTGGATTCCGCATATGTCCAATGAGAAAACAACAACAAATCGTATGTAATGCACAATATTGGCTTATGGTCGATTTCTTTACCTACACTTAAGGCTCTAACCAGGTAAAACTATATGAGTAAACCTAGTTTTCGAGGAGAAGAAATCATGAAGAATGTGGGTGTCTATAGTGTAATACCTGTACAAAGAAAGATAGATGGATTAGTAGTTTCCATTGAATTCCACTACCTTAATTGCTAATCCTTAACAGATAAGCTTATTTCGTCTACAATGTGCAGTACTAGTCGAGTTTTATTATTAGTATTAGTACCATACACTGAAGAAATCTACACATTGTAGACAAAATACTCTTATCTGTCAAGACTAAGCAATTAAGGTAGTTGAATTAAATGGAAATTACTAATCCTTCTCTTTTTCTATATAAGAAGTAATCAGTCTTTATGCGCATTGAAAGTGGAGGACATATTCGTGCAACTACAAATTAAACGACTTGATTTGACATCATTTACGATTTAATGTGTCTTCGTATCGCCTTACGATTTTATCCGATTTTATTTGTACTATTTAAAAGTGACTAACCGTCAAGAATTTGCGATATATGCGATTAAACATCATACGATTAATTTCACACTTTTATGCGTTGTTGACTTCAACGATCTGTGTATTTTTATACGACATCTGGTCACCTGGGTGCCTTTAATTGTTTGAAGATTTTCATTGTTAGGCGAGGTTCCTGCTGGAAGCGTTAGTAGAAACTAGAAATACTAGAATAAGAGATCAGCGGGGAAAAAAAACATGGATATGGCGTTGCGTTGCGTTTGTAACGGAGTAATTCGTAGGTTACATACTGGCAACTGTCATGTATCTGCTTTAACTTTCTTCTAATTGCTTAAGGAAAACTATTTGGGAATTAATAGCTCTCTAATCAGAATTCAGAATAGGAAAAGCATGACAATTAACATTGCCGGCCACGCACATCTTCTCCGTTACGGGAAAAGGAAGGATATTATTGATGTAACATTTACTTAACGGAAGGCCAGCGACTCAACGACGCCCTCAGATGCTACGGAGTTGGATAGTTGGGTAGGAGATGGGTCAGTATTCGTTTAAGCAGGCGATGCGCGACCATAGTAATTGTTTTGTTTTGGAGGAGCTTGGGAAAACCCACGATATTCTACTCAGTAAGCAAAAGCGGTAGCGGTTTAGCTAGCCGAGCTCCTCAATTTTAATTCCAATCCTGTTTAAAATAAAATGTAAACAAACAAAAAGGTAGGGCCTCACCCGAATGATCGAATTTACTCCTTTATATGGCTGAATTATCTATTATTGAATAACTTTTATTTACGATAATTACAGGAAAACATAAAATAAAATATTGATTGCAGACAAAACATGATTGCATCCAAGTAACGTTGCAAGTTTTATGGAGGTTTTAAAGCATTCTATGAGTCTTAATCATGGTCGCAACAAGATATTTTCACAAAAGTATTTCACGCATTCTTCAGGATATACTTTTTTCTACCTATCTTTATATTAGGCATATGGACATGCGTTAGCTTCGAAACTTCTAACCAAACTGGGAAATCTAACAGATCGCAAAAAAAAAAACAGGGTTGCGTCCACTCACCTGTCACAAAAAACTGTTTCCCGGAACTATGAAGTCACCAGATGTTATAATGATAGTCTGCACTTGCAAGTCACAAGAATAGGCTGAAAATCATGTGTTGACTCACGAAAACCGGCAATAATTTCGCTATCCGAGCGTCACAATAAGCAACTCCACGATTCGTGAGCGTTCACTCAGAGTGAACGCTCACAAATCACAAAATCACTGACTGTGACGCTCTGCATACTCCTGTAACCTACAAGTACTAATCATCATTAGAACATCCAAAGACTTCACAATTCCGAAAACCAACTCTCCATAGCAAGTTAGTAGAAGCAGCTTAAAACGTTTCAAAATCAACTGAATGCTAATAAATGAAAAGAAAAAAGAAAAAAAAATATTATTTTACGCGAAAACGAATATTGCATCTCTTGTATCGTATGCTGATATTGACAGTAACAAAAACAATATGCAAAAATAAAATACATTTTTTAATAAAATGTTATGTAATTTTTTTTACTGAAAATCACTAATTTATTGATGAGAAGTTTCTAATAAGCCCTCCTCTGTATACAGAACAAATCTGATACAATAATCTGAATTGCTCAGTCTGCATAAAGCAGCCGATTTCATCATGGAAGTTCTATTAACAACCAAGAATAAATAGTTTGAGGCATACGGAAGCATTATGAAGGTGATATGTTTCTCTATGGAAAATCATTATAGTTCCAGATATAAAGAGACTAAACATAACCCTTTGCTTTAGTACCGTCAACCTCCATGTCCATGGGGAGGGAGAAAAAAATGGATATGGCAACGAGACAAACATCTAATAAATTCTGGCATCACATGCATTTGTAACTGCTTGCGAGTGACTTCGTCATCGTACCGACGTGCGGGTTTGTTTACTTCTCGTGTTTTTTAATTAATTTGAAGTGTTTTGTAATCAAAATATTCATGAGTGATCTTTAACCGATTTCAATACTCCATCCTAATTTAAGCAAATCAATTGTAAACATTGCAGATTGGAATCGAGCCATTTCCCCAATAATATTATTTTCGAATTTATAAAATTTATCCATTGCACAAACGATATTTGTTTAGAGGAGCGTAGCGACGTGCATATGCCTTGAAAAGAAGATTCTATAAAACATTCTAGAAGAAGCGTCCAAAGAAATTTCTAAAGGAAGTGATGATAAATAAAACTAATTTCTGAAAGAAGCTTTTCAGGAAGCTTCTTAAGAAGATTCTATACGAAGCTTCTAAAAGATGATTTTTTTTTATAAACGCTTGCCCGTCGCTCATCTACTTTAACTAAAAAAAAATACGGCCGGAAAGTAAATCAGTTATTCTCAGTGATTGAGCGTTTTTCAGGTTCAGATGCATTTCATTGCATAAAGTGTAGCAGCCTTTATTATATTTTTAAAGAAGAGAGTAAACCATAGAATGAAACTTTCTTTTCTAACTTTTTCCATTCTTTTGGTCACCTTTTGTACTTTCCATATGCATATATTAATTTCGGGTTAACGGCATTTGGGGTAGTAACATAATTACAGCCACAATGTTTCATCATAGTTTGCAAGAAATTTCCGTATAATTGTTCTTGTATTTTATGAAGAAAAAAAAATAGCTGTACAAGCTCAATTTAAAAAAAAGATGGATTTCCGAATTCTTAGTTGCTAGTTCATCAAATATTTAATAATGATCGGTATAGGGTAAGTTTGCCAGTTTGGGCCCTGGCTATCTTAAATTTCACCTTTTTCAATTCTTTATTTAGGGGAAATGGCTCTAATGTTGGCATATGGATCTAAAAATTGGGCCCATCGATAAAAAATACTCATGTTCTTCAATCTTTCTTAGAACAATGCGTCATCTAGACAATACAAATTGATATTTTTGGATGCTAGTGAAAAATTGTCAAAAAATGCTTTCCTTCAAAAAAAGATGCATTTTGAGCGCTATACTACACAATTCGAAAAAGTAGTGTAAATTTCTGTTCAGTATGATGCACATAAATGTAGCGTCACATATCATATAAGTTTACATTATATATTATGTAAAGTTCTGAGACATTTCATGCATTGTAGCAAATATTGTATACAAAAGCCTATTATTGTAAACAACATTGTTTACAAGTTACTCGGTTGCGTGAAATGAAATACAAGTTTACGTGAATGAATGTTTACATCACTATTAAAATTCAGAATTTTTATCTGTGTAACATTACTCAAACTTCATTCACAGTGTTTCAAAAAGTTGTAATTTTAAAAAGTATACGGGCATTTTGTTTAGTACACTGTAGGCAGTAGTGTGAACCGGGTACTAATTTATGTTATTAAAGTGTGAACAGACCGTTAGTTGCCAAGCCAAAGGTACATAATTTGATCAAAACAATTTGATTGCAATGCAAATGTGTTCGTCGTATGCATAATGGCATGAAAAATACAGTGAAAACGGGTCTAACCCGTTTGGCATCCAGCATAAAAGTCGTGTGGCATAAGGATCAATTGGAATGATGGTTATTTGACATACTGACAAAAATGATACATAAAGCTCCACTGAATGAAACTTATTTTTGTGAAATAAATAAATATACAGCGTAAGGTGAAGCAAAAGTTCGACCTTAGTTAAAAAAATAAAAATATCTCAAAATTTCAAGCATTTGAAATAAAACTAATTCCGTACACAGGATTCCTAATTCACCATTTCGATTGATTAAGATGATTCAGACATAGAAAAAAAAATCATCAATCATCAGGATTCAAAAAAAAATAACTAGATTTTTAAACCAATTAATTTTTAGATCTCATGCATAGATCAGGTTTCAAGATCATGGACTAAAAAAGGATTTTCAAAATTCTGGGATTTGACATTTTTTCGGCAATCTAGGTATAAAATGTACAATTTTAATTCAATATCAATATGGGTATGAAGAAATTTCAAGATTCTGGAACATGAAAAGTTTTAAGAAGCAAAACTAACAGAAGTATCGTGCTGGCGCATACTCTTACTCTGTGCACTCAAACATTTTTGAATATTTTTCATCATTATTTTTAAAACGTTATTCCTGCAAACACTACTTCCCGTGTTCTAGGGAAGAGAGTTTATCAAATGTTTTGAATATATTTGCTTAAACTAGGTTTTGTAAATCTTTTGGATGACGAACTTAAAATAAAATGTCTGTGTTATTTGTTTTTTGGAACTTAGGCTTTTTGGACAATTTGAAATTGGAAACCTAAACTTGTGTTTGATTAGAAGTTTTTTTTTGAAGGCTCAGGGACAATATTTATTTTTTTAAAGTGCATAGAATTAAGTAGAGTCGATATTTTGCTAAGCCTTTGTAAAAGACTGTAATGCCAAATGATCATTATGCCAAATAACTGTTTGCCAAACGGAGTAGACCAGAAGTGACCACATTGTGGCCATTTCCGAAGAATAGTCAACCAAACAATAAAAAAACAGCATAGTAATCATAACATTTAAACTCTTATAAATCCAAACTGGTTGACCAAAACGTCAGTGCAATGCGATAGAGGAAGGGTGCAATCACTGTACATACTTTCACAATGACGATAAACGGTTCCTACTCTACTGTTTCGTTTCGTAACTGCTGAGACAATGGTGCTCTGATGAACAACACATTTCGATGTTCTGTTTGATCAGAGCATCGTTGTCAACATGTTTATTCGACAATATTTTCAATCAATCTACCGTACTTCACCAAACCGACCGTAACTACAACCAGGGTTGCTTTAATCTAAGGAATGGCGTAATATACTCTGACATTTTGAATAATCTTATCACAAATTCCTTTTTTCAAAGAATAACAAACGACGCTCGTGAAGATGAAATGGAGGAAAACATGGGCCAGGTCAACACAATGATCGGTAACTTGAGAAACATGGCCCTTGATATGGGATCAGAGCTCCAGAATCAGAACACGCAGATTGATAGAATCAATCGTAAGGTAAGATCTATTGGCATAACATAAGCTGATGCCTTTATAATGTGAGTGAACATGTGTGTACCTTAAGAAAAGGCATGGGTTGCAATGTTTACTAACACAGGGGCAGCTTACAAAGGAACCCATTTGTGGTTGTTTATGACGAGATAGCCCGACGATGTAGAAAACTGACTGTCTCTTCATGAAGGTGTTATTGATTTTGATCAGATTATTTATCATTAAAGAAATGCAATATATATCAATCATTGTTTCAATTTAAATATAAAAAAAAAAAACATTTATTTCGTTCATTTGCTTGCGCACCTTTGTTTGCTAAACGTTCGTTGTCAATATTTTATTTTAGCAGAACATTGTTTTATTTCAATTACTATAAGTTTAGACTGTATTAGCAAAAATGTTCCTTAGTTTTTTTTTTGTGTGTGCTCAAACGTATTAGACCACTTAGCTATGTATGAAAATGGTATTAGTTACAATAACTAGGACTTCACCAGAACATGCACTGAGAAGGATACTGGAAAATAGAGCAGAAATGGACGGTAATGTAAATGACATTGATTCTATTTACTTTTTTTTCACAATTTTGTTTTTCTACTTTAAACAGGCCTAGAGTTTGTTTTTTTTTAACTTTTTTTTTTTAATTTGATTTTGATGCAATATTTTGCATTTGATGTAAAGGTCTTGTTTTTTCACATTTTTGAATTAAGTTACACTGGTTTATGATTCCATTGCTCCAACGGTATTTCAGCACAAGTATGCTTATAATCTGTTTTCCAATTAAAAGGTACTTTATAGGTGAAAATAATCCAATATTAGTAATTGATTTTTCCTTTTTTGTATAATCTAATATTTTACGATTTTTCTGTTAAATGATCAATATGAAATGAGGGGGTTAGAAGGAAAGGGGTGTAAGTGACTTTGATCAATTCTCTTCATCGACTTTCTCTTGCGTTATTAATTCAGTTGCAAATACATTCCTCGATTCGTGTGCCATTCTGGATGCTAGATGAGAACCTCCTTAATCAAACTATGTGGCAGAAATAGCGCAAAATCTGTTTATAAAGCTGTGGCTATCAAAAGAGAAAGTCGATGAAGAGAATCGATCAAAGTCACCCCTTTCTTTCTAACCCCCTCAAATAAGACATTAGTACATAATTACTCTGAAGAAATTCTTTCTAAGGCACTCTAACACTGGTCGTTTTTGACAAGCGTACCTGCTTCATATTTGTGTTGAACCGATGTTAGAGTGGTCATTATTTGAAGATAATTGTCAAACGTTTGATTTTTAATGCCTAGAAGGTGCCAAATGTTTTCAATTGTCACAGTTCAATTGGACGAAGAAATATTCAGACCATAGATGCAACCTCTGCACAAATCTTTCAGTGTATGGGATGAACTAGCCCTTGGCTAAAAAAACACTTTAATAAAGTTTTACAAAAATCTTTCAGTGTTTGTTCTTGCCAAATCTGCCACACGTTTTCATCCAGTTCTAGCTACTGAACTTTCGCGTAACACGAGAAAAGCATGTATCATTGTTGAACGATTCTCTTTATCCATTTTCTCTTTCGCGAATAACGCGACAGCAAATGCATTTTCCATCGAGTGTGTTGTTTCAAGCTCAAGCTAACATCATTTTATGTAAAACTATGCTGCGAGCATAACGAGAAAGTCGATGAAGAGAATCGATCTTCAAGGATAGGCCCTTTTCAAATGTTAAGCGATTACTAGTTGGTGGGTTTTAATCTCCTTCAATTTCATTCATTGCCTATACCATCTTGTCTTTCACTGTATCTTCCACTATATTTTCGAACACTGCTACTGTAGCACCGGTAACCACATTCCTATGGTGTCTCATTTTTTTGTGACGGCTTTAAAATGCTAGCATGAATTTACTTACTGTCATCCAATGACTGATAACGTCGCAGGTCGCTTAGGTCAAGACATTTCTGGCTGAAGAAGTAGAGGGCAATGTCTTGACGTAAACTTGAGAGAAAAATGCTGCTCCCTTTATTTCTTTTTGAATTGGGATCGAAATGGACACACCTTGTACATGTAGGTGACCGGGCATGGTGCATTGTTCATGGAGAATAAAATCGGATTCCACGAGGAGGGCAAGATAGGTTAGTATCAGCTGTATAAACTCCCGGTAGTAATCGAGCGGTTGAAAATCTAAGAACTTCACAATCGCGTGGTTGAACTGTCTTCGTACTTTTTCTTGTCAAAAACTCCCATTATGTCTGAAACCTATTGAACAACAAGATCTCCGGCATGCATCCAAGTCATGCATGCAAGTCATATGGAGCAGATCTAGTCCCAGCAACTGTTCCACGACGTTATTATTGCAGCCGGTGTTGTAGCTTGTTGTGTTGAAGCACATGCCTTGTATTTCGTTCTCAACATTACACTGATTCAAACTATCGACAACTGCGTGTGCTTGTGGTTCTCCAGTTCCTGACAGCAGTCTACGTATTCATGAACCAATACCAGAAGGCGATCCACTTTTTTTTATTTTCTGTCAATTCAGAGAAAATATGTCCATGCCAGTTAACAATTAGAAGCACAGCTAGTTGGAATTTGCCCTGTACATCCACGGTGATAGATTTACTTCCATATTTGTCGTTTTTTCCACTTCTTACGTGCTCTTACTTACTGTTTTCTCATAAGTGAGACCCCATGCACGTTCTTAGCGTTTAACACCACCGTAGATCTCACGGTTTTCGGTAATGATCACACCTTCATCAAGTGCTCGTTCGAAAACTCACGCGCTCATCGTTGTCTTCTCGGATTTTCCCACACACTTGCATTCCAGTTGACTTGTTGGAAACCTACTTCTGCGTGCCGAAAATAGCAAGCGAATTAGGATAGTACACTTCGGACGAGAATCGCACGGGGTCCTCGGTGCAGCTGCACTCGTTTTCACGGCTAAGTCACACGAAAAATTCCAGGCGTGACGCCACGTACAGTCAAACCAGAAACAAAAGGGACTCTGGTGGCTTCGGTTACTCCAGTCATTAGAAAAGCGATTCCAATGTGCGACTGAACGTCCTGCAGTTAATATATCAATAGTACATGAACCACAGTGTTCACTCGGATGTCGACAAAAGCAGGCCACTCTAGAGGTGTGCCACACGATCGTCTGTTTTCTCGACAGCAACCATAGTGTGGTCCTCCTCATTGTACTTCATCAGCAGTTTTTTCAATCGATGCGTCGTCGACTTTGGAAAGCAACCGTATAGTGATGAGTGTGTGAGTGCCGACCACTTTTTGCGTCCATTGCTGCAATGGAAGCGCTCTGATCCCCGTTGGAAATACTGCCATACAATGAAACCACTGGAAGTGCTTCCGTTCTGATGGAGGAGGCTTTTTGGATAGCGAAAGATAAAGTATGTATTGCGTTGTACATTTTGACTATAGTTTTAAGATGTATTGTATAGTAATCAAGAATCCTCGGCTCTGAAAAGCCTTATCAAATAAATTAATAAACAACCAACTACATGAATCTGAAAACCTCGTTAGATTGTATGGCCCGGGGCAAGTGAGACCAATACAAACAAAGTGTTTGAAATGAATGTTATCACTTCTTTTTGAGTATTTTGTGTACAATTGAAGTCATTTCTATTCAAAAACGTTACATTTTATTAATTATACTTGTGCTGATCATCTGCCACTAGCTAAACAAGAAATTTCAGTATTAATTGCAAAAGAAACATTTTTTGCTGGGTAAAGTAATGTATATCAAATAACTGCATCCAGATTTTGCGAATTCGAACACTGTTTATCAACTTAAACTGCTATAACTTTCAGGACAATAAAGGGTGTACCGTTTAAAAACCGCACACACAAAATTCATTCTCAAAATTCGAGTTTTTATCCGATTAGGGTAGAGCACTACTTCGGCCTAATCACCCATTTTGGGCCTATCGAGCAGAAAACTTCAAATAAATCCATGATTTCTGAGTTAACAAGTCAATTATCCGTTTGGTACTATACTTTAGTTAATAAGCTACAGAACGAAGTCAATGAGAACGCGTGATATGAAGGTTTGTACCCACTATTCCCAAAAACAAAAGAAGCGCTCCGACCGAATCAAATTTTATCTTCATCCGATAGGCCGAAGTGAATTCATTAGCGTTTCAATGGCGTTTCAATGACGTTTCAATGCGTTAGGCCGAGTTTAGAATCCGTAGGCCGAGTTTGGCGTCAAGAAGCAGTGCTAGACTTTTGAGAATATCTTAACTATTGGTTTCTCTTTATCAAATCTTACGGTACGTACGGAAAGGTAAATAATTTTGGAAGCCATCAGTAATAATAACATTCCGTTTGGTGCTAAACTGCGCTAGATTAAGAAAGACTAAGTGCGGGTTGTGCCGAAAATGGGGTAGTTACCCAAGTAACCATAGGCACGTTATTTCGCCTTTTGGGCTATATACAGTTGAACAACGGCTACACCAGTGTTTGCAAGTTCTGATGAAGTTTTGTTCAACTTCGTTTAATTCCGCTTGCTTTCCAGCGTTGTAATCCAAACTAGTAGATACGATAGCCGGAAAACGCCTCTTGCTACTATTTGGCCCTGATTTGTTCGACATGATAGCCTGAAATTAAACCGGTCGTCGATCATCACTCAGAGGCATTTCAGCACGCGCTTCAATACTATGACATGCTCTCCGATGATGATTTCTGCCTGCTGCACCGCTTTGCACTTACTGACCAATAGCACTTACGTTTTTTGGTGAGCTACCTATCTGAAGTTTTGATCCTTGCATCCAGTACTCAAACGTTTCGATCGCCTCGGTTGCTAGGATTTCAACTTCTTCTCGCGTCTCGCCTATTACCATTAAGGCGACGTCAGCAACAAAGCCGACGATTTTGACATCTCTAGGCAGCTGACGCTTATCAAGGAAGATGCCTTGTACAACACTTGCGGTGATCGTAATCGTTCTCTTTCACATGTCTGTCTTGTAGACCAGTTCCCTGTTCTGGAAGAAGCTCTTTAATGATTATTAACGTCTATTGTTGTCACGCCACAATATCAATTTTCTGCCAGCTTTTATTTGTACAACATCTCAGTATTCTCGATTACTATCCGGATTGCGTCCAACGTCGATCTTCCTTTTCGGAAACCAAACTACATCTTTGTCAATCAATACTCGCTCGCCGTACATGTTGTCAGCCTGTTGAGGACAATCCTTTCCAGAAGCCTAAGTGTATCCAACAAGCATTTTGGCCTATAGAATGCTGGATCCTTTGGAGGATTTCCTGGTTTTGGCAGCAATACTAATTTTGTGTCTACATCTAGACATTTCAGCAGCACCGAACAAGTATCGCCGTTTTCATAGAAACGTTGGGGATTCCATCTGAGCCGGACGCTTTCTTCACTTTTAATCCTTTTTTACTGCTGACTTCCTTATGAGAGACTTGAGCTACTTCAGTGTTGCGCCTCCCTCTGTCTCGCCATACGGTGTATGTGGCCAGGTTGATGGGTCGTGTTTCAGGATGAATCCCTTAAAGATGACTTCCTGCTTGCCTAGAAATAAAAAAAAGTTTTTAACATCTCATTCTTAGAAAAAAGAAACAAATCTTGCATTTAAATATTTTTGTAAGATTTTACACTAAATAGGGCAGTAAAAAAAATAAAAGTAATCGAAAAACTGTGCTGTTATAGTTTTTTTTTTTAATTTGTAAATCCTTATTTCTCCATTATTATTAAGTAGAGTAGATGTCAGAAGAACAACAGTATTGTAGTGTTAGAGTAAAAAAACAGAAAACGTGACAAAAAGTTTAGGAAGGTCGCTTTTACGAAAAAATAAAAATAAAATGAACATACACCCGCTTTATTTTTGCACTTTGTTTTTGCTAAACCAGCTTTAAATCTATGCTTTCAATATTCGCTATTATCGACAAAGGACAAATTCAAACTTTATCTTATTTTCTATCTCATTTTGAATAATCTGATTAAAAAATCAATGCTTCTAATTAATGCATGTGGTGATGGTTATTATACTTCTTCCAAAAATCCAGGGAGAATCGAACGAGGACCGGATAAAGGTGGCAAACGAGAAAGCGCACTCGCTGCTCAAATAAGCAGGTTATCCCAGATGTGTACATTATATCGTAACATATTGTTATTATCATTATTATTGTTATCTTAGTAGCAAAAGTTCAGTTTACATGTTTACGTTTAAGTTTTGAGAATTGCTTGTTTTATATATATAATTTAAATTAATTGATGGACGTCGTATGTGGAACAGATCAACAAAAAAAGGGGATCTAAGAATTTAGTTTGTATTATTTATTGAAAACAACGTATTAATTAAAAAAAAAATTATGAACAGAAATTCCCTCCGATTGAATAATCTGATCATACCTTGCAATAGTACAACTATATACGCTGTATGAAATTGTTATTACATGAGAATTTACCTTTGTATGTGTGTATGTGTAATTTGATAATTTTTTTTTCAATACTTCGTTGACCGTCGTGGCCGTTTTTGTCATATGACAAACCAAAACCAAATCGCGATTACATGCACTTTCGACACTTTTGTGCACTGCAACAATAACCACCTGCAGGGCGATTCCAATGCGACCAGGATAGCAGCCGCAAACGAAAGGGCCCACACTCTCCTGAAATAATTAAATCCACGAAGGAAAACAAGGCAAAGGGGTTGATGTTATTATGACTAAGTTTGTATGTATGATAGCATGCGCATCACGAATGTATGTAATGGTGAAGTAATAGTGGAGATCTCTACCATGTAGGTATAAAGCGATTACAAAGTCATCAACCATAGCAAATCTGTATTATTATTGTCCTGCAGTGCCACCTGCATCCCAAGAAAAAGGAAAAAAAAACATTGGTTCAAACCAAATATTTGAATTAATTAAAAATATGGATTTTGTTTCTTAGCAACAAACAGCTTTTAAAAAGCAAGACCTAATTAGTGATATTTAAGTATTTTTTTTAACAAATTTTAAATTAAAACATGGAAATTACATATTCCATGATCACTGGTCACGGCAATTCTTTGAATTTTATGGGAATCTCAATATAAAACTACTTGACAAAATGTATTGCTAAAGTAATCTTGTATAAATTACCAATAAAATCCGCTTGTTGAAGTATATATATATATATATATATACAATAAAAATATATATTATGGAAATAACTAACAATATTTCAAATTTCAAGTAACAGAAAAGTTAAGAAATATAAAACTAGCATTTAATGAATAATGAATATTGCTTTATACTTTTCATATGATTTAAATATTGCTGATCGTTGTGAGTGCAATTCGATTGTTATTGTAGGAAGCAAGCAAAAGAAACGAACGAAAGGAAGAAAATACTGTAGGAAATTAAGAATGATACACAGAAGAAAAAACCTGAGCAGATTGTTGAGTACTTGGTCGAAAATTTCCAAAAATGTTGGGACCAAAGTATCTGGCCAGAAAAAAAAATAAGCAAAAAACCAGTGATTCCCGTCACTAGTGCATGCATTGATTCCGTTTTTGCGGATAAATGCGTTGTGGCGCTACGTTACACATTAAATCCATAGAAAGGTGCTGATCAATAGTTGAAAAATATTGAATCGGTGAACCGAAGGTTTGTTAAGTTATGCTTTAGACTGCATTTGATATTACTGAATGCAGGCTATTGTGATATGAGCACTCATACGTAAAACTTTCTCTGGAAATAAAATGCATGACATTTGATATCAAGATAGCCTATGTATTAAGTGATATAAGGTATAGTCTGTACGCGGTATTAGGGTGGGTCAAATTGCAGAACAAAATTTATTTCTTTTTTGTTGCATTGGACAAAATGAAGTATTACATGAATGAATCAATCCATTCGGTTACCACTTAGGAGTAGCCCATCGATAAAAATAAACTTTTACATGTTTTCATGCAATTGATGTCAAAGCTTCATTGGCGAGCATATTTGCCCGAGATAGAAATCTTTGCATAAGTTTTTATCGTGGATCCATCACCATTAAGTGATGATCGAAATGACTTATTTTCTCCAACGCAGCAAAATTGAGACTTGAAAGTCAAGCTTTTGGACATTTTATTGTAATCAATGCCGCCTTAATTGTTCATTAACGACACTCGGCTATACCCGACATTTGTTGACAACACTTAGAGAAAAAATTGTTACCCGTTTTTACGTTTGAACGTTTTACGCGAAATGAAGCAAACATAGTTAAAACAAAGCAATATAGGTCTTTAATCCACTAGATGTGTATTTTGCGATTGAAAACCAACGTGTTTATTTCACAACGGGGTATTCAGCAATTGTTTACATTCCAATTGAACAGTTTTATAATGGTATTCCATTACAATACACAAACGCTTTCTTCTTAGCAGGCGCTTTCCATTCAATTTGCGTAAAAGTGTCGCATTTTACGAACCCAAATCCCCGACTGCAAAAACATTGGTTCGTTATTTTGTAACAAAAAAAAAAATCATCGTTTGGTTGACCTGTAAAGCATACGAAAGACATCTATAAGTACATTGTCATCATTGTATGACGTTTTCACCGTAATGAATATGTTTTTCATTTCTTCCCACCGAATGGAAATGTTAGTAATTGAAAACAGAAATCTTACTGTCATTGAAAGGTGATAGCGGTTTATCAAATATAACAAAAGAAACTTGAATTGCATAAGAACCATAAGAACAAGTAAAGCATCAATAAGTGCACGAGACGTCAGATATCACAGTAAATTGTACACATTTCCAAATTATTCCTACCACATACTTTATAAATCGACCGTTGTCCTACACATTGTCGGCATATTTTGTTCTTGTTTTTTTTTTTAATGCAAACTTTGTACAGTTGAATACACAATTTTACATGCACTCACTAACATCCAGGAAGCATCTATAGAGCTTCCAGTTATTAATTATATTACTCTACCAGAAAAGTAAAAACAAAAACAATTTAGATCGAACAGCAGTACTCTTCACAGTTCACAACTAGCTGTGAACATTTCCATTTGCAGAGGTAACCAATCCACAAAATTAAAACTATCAGTCAAATAACAAAGTTTAAGGCATTGGCAGATTTGTATAACGAAATATAGAGCCCCGTTGATTAAATACCTACTAACATTCTCCTCTAAATAAACCAAATGTGCATTTATATGATATTGTCAATTTTGGAAGGGCTATTGTAAGTAATAATTGTTTAAGATTCTTTTTCATACGTTTTTGTGGTACTTGTTGGCAAAAAGGAAGTATGTATGTACATAGGAAGTAGCATGAAGATTCTGCACTTATCACTATCAAGGTCCACGGGTATGGTATGTATGGTGTTGCGATAATATTGTTGCAGTAAGGTATAATAAAAATGCAACGTTGCTCCCAAAATAACATTCCAAAGAAAAACTTCTCTAAGAAGCTTCCAGAAGAATATTTTAAAAGTAACTCATTCAGACTCATGCTCCGCTCCTCTGACTTCAAAAACACGTACACGGGTAGGACAGTAAATCCGACTATACTACGCATCTAAAGAGCATTTTCAACTGTTTAAGGAACATTTCATCGATTTTATATTATACGTTTCCATAGCTGTCAACCCCAAAAGGCGCATCACATTCTGCACATCGATCACCCCAGGTGTCACAAGATGCGCAAGGAGTGCATCGCCTGCATAGTATCGTTAGATCTCCGGCAAGCATTCCACACTATATACCTGCTAGTATTTCCAGAGACTCGAGAGTTTTCCATGGTAAAAACGTTCGAATCGGCATGTCGTCGTATATACGCTGATGACATCTTGATGTTCCTTACGGACCCTTCCCAAATCTCATGGCTGCTGCCACAAATCAGGCCTCGTTTCCCAAATTTCAAGGCTGCTGCCAGTTTGTGTGAGAACTCAGTCAACAAGACGAAGGATCTTGATCTGAGTAAGCCTATACGTCGGATAGAAGACAAGTTAGAGTCAAATCGAACACAGTTTATGAAAACTGTCAAATTTGCCGTTTCCGTTCCGATTCCGGCCACATTTTGTTTGGTGCTTAAGGTTTTATTGTCACAATAACTTCAATTGCGCTTTACGCGCTCTGATAGTCTCAGATACGAAATCATTTACGTTACTAGTTTATGGATCATTTAGTACTTCTAGCTATGATTCAGGAAACGCGAACAATGTCATAGGGGGGGGGGGGCACAAACATGATCGGAATGCATCCATTTTTGTTAAAACAGCGTGTTCAAGGCCTGGTCGGTTACGTTTAATCCGGCCGCCAGCTATTACATTTTTGCGATCATATGTGTCGCATATCGCACAAGTCGCAGGAACTCAGCAAACGCACCAGTCTTCCTTGTGCCAACATTGAAAACGTGAAACCAAACGATTCTTCACCTCATCTTACATGCTTTCTACCGGTGGATTTTTCACTAAGTCCGTCACGTGGCGCGAATACAAAAAAAGTGGGACATCGACAAACGTTCCGGTCGTTCATTTCGCAGTTCAATTGAATTGAACATCGACCTGAATAGCCTAAATCGAGTAAAGCAATATTCCCGAGGGCAATCTGAGCCTTTGTCTGTGCAAATCACATGACAGGATCGTTCTTCTAAAAATCCTGAAGTTTATAGGCGACACTAGGAATGGCAGCGACGGCAGCTTTTTAGGTCGGGTTTTGCCATTTTCGTTGGAAAAATGGAAACGTTATCCAGTCGATTCTTCTCTGCGGGGTGGCCAATGTGGTCTCGATGTTAATAAAACTACGGATCAGTGTACGGTCCCTAACCTCACGTTTTGATCTCGTTGTGTCCCTTTAATTTTACACCAGAGTAAAAATGATGGCAACGAATGGGATCCAAAACAAACCACCCAAAAAGTTCATATATGACATCCCCGTGCACTGATCTACTCCAAGTGAACGCTTTGTTGTCTGTACGTGTTAAAATTAACCTTTGTTACTGTTAACGTTCGCTATCTGCTAAATAGTCAACAGAAATCAAACTATATTTAAATTAGGTCTATCCAAGAAAGAGCAAACAATCAGTAGCTCTCCTCGGCCATAATCATTTTTTTTGCATCCTTGACTAACAATTTTATATGTTATCATGTAATAATACACAATCGACAAAAAGTTGAAGTTTGTCATCAGAGGTGTTCATGGTTTATAAAAGTAAATAACAAAACAGCGAAATTGTTCAAGTGTGTGTGTTAACAACATGCTGTATGTTAAAAATAAACAAAATTTATTGTTCTCAATGATCATACTAGCAGTTCATACTTCCTTCTTGCCAATAGCATTGTGTACTAACATTCCATTATTGCTTGGTTAAGTATGTTTGTCTTAAAGCACATATATTAGTTTCATCTTTTTTTTCGTTAGCCGCGTTTACTTATAATTTCATTTATTTTACTTCAAAGGGCGACGACAATACGGTTAGACTTGAAGAAGCTAGCAAGAGGACTGGCCAGCTGTTACGAAGCTAACGTGTGAAGGTTTGTTTTAGTTGTTATTTTCCTTTTTATGGTTTCATTGTTCTCCTTACCGAATCGATTTGTATTACATTTATTCTCGAAACACTACACTTCTATCAATGCGTGTATAATCTGTGGCCAACGTAAGCTTTCATTATAATAGACAAATCCTTGCAGTAACACCTGAAGACAAGTTAAACGATTATTGACAAACAAAAATAAAACAAACAAAACTTACATTTGGTCATTTCACACAATAAATATAAACGTGATAAAATACATTGATAGTATCGTTTACGACCGACTTTTCATTTAAGAAGAAGAAATAGCCTATTTGAAACATTATTTTCTATACAATTGAAATTGAAAATCGATCCATTAGCGAATGAAACAAAAATATAATCCATATCATATTCAACAAAGAAGCAAGAAAAATAAATCCTCGAACTCTAGTAACAGAACTCTGGGTGAAAATTTCGGAGAAGGTAATATGGCTATTCAATCGCGTTTGATAACCAAGTGATTTGAAAGCAAATAACCTTTCGAGTTACCTGTGTCCTAGATGCACTCTTTAGTTGTTTCGATAATCCCTGAACTACTACTTATATCGTAAGTGTGAGACGGTCTTGACGCTATACGAGCAAAGGTATCTAATTTGATCGAACCGCATTTGCCAGCTTGGGTTAGTGATAAGTTTCTATCAAGTCGCACTTTGCTAGCAATAATAAAGAAAAAAAAAAAACAATTGTGATATATAAGCGTAAAATAATGATAACTAATGAAGAGAAAGACATGAACGGAAAGCAACGCATGCTACTAGAATAGACGTCAGCGACGACGCAGAAGGCCTTGTTTTCCTACTCGTCAGAAAATCCCATACCATTCTATTATCATGAACTTGCTTCATTGCCTGAGATGACGTTTTAATAATAGCACGCATCAAAATGCCATTTAAATAAAAAGAAATAAAAAAAAATGGCGATATTAATAGGAAACATTATAGGAAATGTTTTAGTTTTTAAATTCTCCTAAATGTGAACAACCACGACATGCAAGGAACGTGGTTTGAAAAACGGTTTCTTTGATCGTTGCTAAGCAACGCGATCGGAGGATCTATTTAAATTCCTTATCCATCCAAAGAAAAGAAGAAAAGTAATTATTATGGTCATTCTTTGCTACCCGAGCTTAAACGTATTCAACCCGGATAGAATGAATTCTATTCTTTCCTAATTTATGTGATCCTCATGGAAACTGAAGGTAATATAATAGTTTCAGTATTGTAGAAACTAGAGCTTACTTATTAATCACGACACAATCAGTTTGATGCTTTTGACAATTCTTGTAGACTTTGTTTGTTTGTTCAAAGAGTTCATTTGTAATGAGTGGAAGTGTTTAAAGCCTTGTTTGATTCAAGCCGGAATTTGTAGTTCATATTTATCCTAGTTGCTTAAATATCCTATGAAGTTGTATTGAAAAACGCATCATTGTATTCCAAAACAGCAAAAATTCTGCTTGGGAAAAAAAAAATGTAACCTCGTGCTATGCTTGTTTTTTTCTTTAAATTTGTGGGTGATATCAAATTTTACGCAAAATTAAATAAAAGGAGCGATTGATTGTGGCAGAGTACCAATGATGTTGTTTCACAGAAGACGGAAATGTTTGAAAATTAATTGAGCTTTAACTTCATTAGAAGCTCAGAAAATAATTAAACCCACAGTTTTTCATCAACCGACATATCAAATGGCGGACAATCATCTATAAAATGTAACATTTCTTAGAAATTGGATTTGTTTTAGAAAAGTTTACTTTGAAACAATAATTGTTTGTTAGTCTAATTTATGTATACTTGCATACGGCTGATCAATAAATAGATAACTGGGCATTTCACACTTTTGATACGTCTCTTTGTTCAAATTTTTGGGCAATTTATTTCTCTGCCCTTTTCTAATACTTTCAATTATTTCTAGCAACATTGGTAGCCATAGTGCTATTTCCCATCGTAGTTTGATGAAAACACAAAATTACAGAAGGGAATGCTGTGTTGGCTCCAAATTATGTCCAATTTATCTTCCCAATCACTTTCGAATCGGATAATAGAAGGCAAGCTTTTTTTTGCATGATCATAGATCGTTCATTATGCAGAATTGTATCGAACATGGCGAATTCGGCGTGGAAAATACAAAGCTAATTTTTTGTTGTAATCTAATTTGTCTTCGGGAAGATGCATAAATGACGTCGAATTTTAGGGTGACCAGCATTTTAGAAAAATACGCTATAAGTTACTGCTTCATGAAATGTAAACAACCGTTAAACGTTTATTTACGTTTGATGAAGCACATACTTTGGACCCCCCTCCCCTTGTAGCGTATTTTTCTACATGGCTGGTCACCTTAAAATGCCACGTAGTTTATGCATCTTCCCTTCTTTCACTAATTATTTGGCAGGTATCATTTGGCATAAATGCGAATAAAATCACTTTATTGCCTGTATCGAATATAATTGCTATTTTTTTTTATCATGTTATGTTTTTCATAAACATAAAAAGGAACAGCTCATGCTCAAAAGAAGGAAAAATACACATGAAATGATTATGTGCCCTTCTTTTGATTATAAGCTGTTCTTATATTACGTTGAAGCATAACCTATGAAAAAAGCATTTTTTCGCTTTTATGCAAAATGGGCATTATGTCAAACGGCCTTATGCTAAGTGGCATTATAACAAACGGCGTTATACCAAAACGAATATTCCCATGTATTTACAAGTAAGTTCTAGTGATTTTTTCTGGGATAATTTTCCGATGCCTCATTGCGGTGTGTGTGTCCTGGCCAGATTCAATCGTCTACATATAATATCACATTTTACTTTTAATATATTTGAGTAGCTGATACTGATTATGACTACTTTTTCACTTAATTCAGCTAAATATATCTGGCTCTGAATCTTTCTATTCAGTTGAATTACCATGAAGGTTCTTATTCCATATAGTTTTGGTTGTTCTGTGAGCTGGAAACTAAACTTTGCTCTCAACTCTAAAGGATACTAATCAAAACCAATGTAGTCCAATTGTTTTACTGGATTACAGTCAAAATAACGTAAACAATTGATCCCACCAAATCTATCCGACGGATATTTGTTTTTAAACGATACGTTTTAACTACGAATAATTGTGTTGGCCTTCGATTTCGAAGCATACTTCCGAAGGCATTGATTTTACTATTTTGACTTATTTTAATATTGATTCATACGCATCTAATATGAATGAAACAAACACGAGCAGTTGCGATTGGACGTCGTGCTGTTTAAGCGAGTATTACCTTAAACCACAATCGCACTTGCTATTGAAATTTTACAGCTAAACCCAAACATCACACACCAGCTGAAACCATGTGTCAAAAATTATTGAATATAGTAGCACTTGGCGCTAAGATTTATAGTTGTTCGAATCGAGTTTGAAATATAGGTCACCACCAGCAATAGAAAAAAGTCTTAGGCAGCATTCTACTGAATAGCAAAAACAAAGAACAAACTTGAGCTACTAGAGCTAGCCATGAACAGGGCGATACTACACACATAAGAAAACGATATTTAACGCTTTAAGATAAATTCATCTCTTGTTGTCTTTCGAAACTCTGTGTGTGTTATAGCAAGTCAAATGAGATTGTTAAACCATCCAACAATGAACAAAACATTAGGATTTCTTATGTATATTACACCCAGCAACCAGTTCTTGATTTATGTTTTATTTCAATGCTATTTTGTTTCCTTACCTAAAACCTAGCATCCTTAAACATCACAACAATCCAAAAACTTTACGGATTCTGAAATAATCTAAATAAAAAACTCCACTGTCCTAGTAGAAGAGGCGAATTGACTTTCATGAACTGTAGAAACAAGTATTTTACTACTAGGACGAGAATGAATGCAAACATACGAACAAAACTAGGGAAATGACGGAAAAAATAGAAAGTGGTATTGTACAGACATTGTTTAAATCAACGAGATAAAATAAGGCACAGAAAATATCGCTGAATGGAATAATTTTAAATAGTTTTCTTGGATTTCTTTCGTGATCAGCTGGTTTTGTTTTAATTTTAGTTACATTCACCTGAATGAACAAATTTCATTTCAACTTAGTTTGCAAAACTCATCAAAACAAACGAATGATGGGGAGAAAATAATTTTGAAAGAAAGGTAAAATGCATCAAATAATATTAGATAAGTTATATTATTACTATGGTTGATATTTTTCAAATGTATTAATAATAAAGGATAGTAAAATAAAATAACCAAAAAAAATGTAAAATTATATCCATATTTAGTTTTTTTTTATCAAATATCACATCCGATTAATGTCCAAAATATTAAAAGCTGAAACAGATCTTGTCAACACCAATCCCGAATGAAAAAAAAAATCTATACGTTTCGAGCGCCTCTCAGCCTAGTGCTACACAACAGTGTCATTGCTTAAAAATATATAATTTTTGGATTTCAAATTATGCATGGATAACATGTCGTTTCTCTCAATCAGTGTTGACAAAAAAAAAAATAAAAAAAAATCAAATCTCTTCTTCTTATTCTCAATTTCTTAATTTAACGTCGGTCTCTATTACGCAATCTACACGTTATTTCAAAACTACCCAAATTTGGGTAGAATCCACCCAGATCGGTCAAAACTGAACCTACCCAAAAATGGGTAAACTATGTATGAAAGTAAGTTGACAAATGAACAACGTGGATAGGATTTATGTCGATGTCACTCTCAACATACCTCACCCTTACCAGTCAGGCTAAGGCCTTGTTGTCCTCTGCTGTCCGTCTCCACTCTACTCGATCCATGACCACACTTCGCTAGCCTCGTCTGCGAAGGATCCGCAGGTCGCGTTCTACTTGGTCGATCCACCTTGCCCGCTGCGTGCCTCTTCTTCTTGTTCCTGTACAGTAGATTCCTGAATCGAGTCACGGAAACCATCGGCAAGATTAACCCGAAGCTTAACCGCCACGGAAATATATTTTTTGCTCTTTTTAATTTCTCTAAAAATATTAGAAAAGTTATCAAAAATCCAAGAAAATTAGTTTTTGATTTGTATTCATTTAGAAAATATAATAACATTTTTTCCTGATTCATTATTTTAAAAATTTAGGTAAAAAACAAAATTGTAAGAGTTGGTTGGAAATGCTAACATGATAATTTATAAACTAGAGAATGATCTTTAGAAGAGGGTAGGTGGATAGTTCCGTTAGAGTACGGCAGTATGAAAATTGAATAGAAGCTGAAAATGAGCGAAGGGCCATTAAAGCGACAGTTTTTTAAAGATAGACGCACATCTTTTGCTTAACCCGTACGATGTACGCGGAGACTTGAAGTATGTCTCCAAGTCTACAGGCAAAAAATGTGCGTCCCTCTTTTGCTCATAAACTGACTGCGGCTGTGGAATAGTTCTAGCGACGTTTTCATCACTACCTAACCCAAGTAACAAATCTAGAGCTGCTTGGCTATATTCAAAATTTATAAAGGTTTTATTGCAGCTGCAACCATTACCTACAGCTTTATCACGGTCATATACAATGCAAGTCATGAAACATTCTTATAGCTATTTACAAAACCCCTATAAAGCTAATTAAAAAACCAACTGATGCTTATGCTATTTTCACTTATGAAAGGTTTTATGATTGCTTTGAAGTATACAATAAAGTAATATGAATTGCCCTTATAAAACCAAAAAATAAATCCTTTCGTTGCTTTATAAGTAAGCGCAATAAAACTAGTTGGCCATGAAACAGTTATTTCAAAACAATTATAAGCATTCAGTTGCAACTTGTCAGAAATGTAAATAGGTGGTTTATTTTTACAACATAGAAAAAAAATAAAAACTTTCCGGTACTTCCATGAAAACATTTCGTGTATACGTATACGCGACGTAGTGTGCGTAATAAAAACGTCAGCAATCTCCATGATTCTTCCGTTCTCGCTCGCATATACATGGGGTGACACGGTCGAATCTTGGTCGAAATACATGGAATGGTGACAGTCCTAGAGCAAAAAGGTTGAAATCACGCATAACTTTTCATGCAGGTTAATGTACCATTCAAAACTTTTCTAAATGTTTGTAAAATTCATCGGTTGCACCCGTAGAATAGGAATATACATTTGCCCTCAAATAAAAAAATGAATTCAAGCTGAAAATTGCATTAGGTCCTAAGTAATATTGACAGATTCTCTTCGTCAACTTTCACTTTGCATCCCCACGGTCATGTAAAGACATTCCCAGGTATATTCAGCACATAAATCGATAAAAGAAGCTTTTATCTAGCATCCAATACGATAAACACATCAAGAAACAGTTCTGTGAATAAGTAATTAACGAAAGAGAAAGTCGACGAAGAGAATCGATCAATGTTACTTAGGACCTAATGCAAAGTTCAGCTTGAATTGCTCTTGTAAAAAAAATAGTTCTCATAATAAAATCATGTATTATGCTTTTCTGTTCTGCTTTCATCCCATGCACACTGGGCCAGGAATGCAACCTAGAGGAGCAAAATTAATAACTCCGAAACGAAGCATTTCCGCGACTTGGTGTCTTCGGCAAAATTTCTCGTCATAATAAGGACCATCTATTGACATAAACAAATAGTTCAAAACTCTTCCGCAAAGATGGTGCCACAATCTAACTTCTTTCCCTGACGTTTTGGAAACTTGATGTCCTGGGCAAAGTTGTTTATCTTGACAAAATGAACAGCTCTTTCAAAGATGTAAAATTTCCACAGTCTACTGGTTCCAAGTTATATGGAGTTAAAGAAAAAAATGTCGATAATAAGGTTTTTTTTCTGTTTCGGTTTTTTTTTTGCATACAGCTTTATAATGTTATATTTTTCTCTTATGCAAATATATTAAATAAATAGCTTTTGTGAAGAAACATACTGGATTAAGCTTCAAATTTCAAAGATATTGTTGAAAAAACGAGAAAAAAACACAATTTTTGAACATTAATATCTTCTAAAGCGCAAAAAATCGCAACCTGACATTTTCAGCAAAAATTAAGCAATACTCGATAAACAAAATATCAAAATTTGAGAGAGAGATATTTTGGTGTTTTGTAGATTTCTTCATTTTAATGGAACATTATTTTTTTTCTATAACTTTTTTAATGAATTGAAATGGCGTTTTGAAGACTTGACGACTTTTGCAAAATTGTTTATCTTGATAAAATAAATAACTCTTCTTAAGACGTTCAAACTTCACAGCCTACTGTTTTCGAGGTATATTCATTTAAACAATATATTTAAAATTAAAACACTTATTTTCACATTTTTTCTGTTATTTCACATAACTCGAAAACAGTAGGCTGTGAAGTTTTAACGTATTAAGAAAAGTTGTTTATTTTATCAAGATAATTAACTTTGACAAAGTCGTGAAGTCTTCGAAACACAAATTCAATGCATTAAAAAAAAGTTCTAGAAAAAAATCCTGTTCCACTAAAATGAAGAAATCTAAAAAAAAACACCAAAATATACCTCTCTCAAATTTTGATATTTTGTTTATCGAGTATTGCTTAATTTTTGCTGAAAATGTCAAAATTGTGATTTTCTCGTTTTTTCAACAATGTCTTTGAAATTTGAGGCTTAATCCAGTATGTTTCTTCACAAAAGCTATTTATTTAATGTATTTGCATAAGAGAAAAATATAACATTATAAAGCTGTAAGCAAAAAAAACCGAAACAGAAAAAAAACCATATTTTCGACATTTTTTCTTTAACTCCATATAACTTGGAACCAGTAGACAGTGGAAATTTAACGTCTTTGAAAGAGCTGTTCATTTTGTCAAGATAAACAACTTTGCCCAAGATATCAAGTCTCCAAAACGTCAGAGAAAGAAGTTAGATTGTGGCACCATCTTTGCGGAAGAGTTTTGAACTATTTGTTTATGTCAATAGATGGTCCTTATTATGAAGAGAAATTTTGCCGAAGACACCAAGTCGCGGAAATGCTTCGTTTCGGAGTTATTAATTTTTCTCCGCTAGGTTGCATTCCTGACCCAGTGTGCAATGTAAGCATTAGACATTTTAAAAAATTGCGCTTGGTGTTTTTCTTGCCTGCTGTCCTCTGTCGCCATATTGTCATTATGAAAATGCCATTAGCCTTGGAATAAAATCCAAGAAATTTCAATAAAATAATGGCTAAATAAGAGATCCGAAATGATTTCCAGTGTGCATTGGTATGAATTTATGTATTGAGATCTATTTTCTGTAAAATTAAGGTGATTCCATCAAATTCATTTGATTTCTGAAACAATCTTTTTTGTTAACTTGAATTATTTTTGAGGCGCATTTATTTAACGCTCATATTATCCCAATATACACGATAAAATTTCAAGCGCATATGTTTTGGAACTTCAAAAAAGTCGTATATTTTCTCTAAGATTTTCACTAATGTCGCCATGAAACAAAATTGATTGCATGGTGATCTTGACACCAACACTCAAACCTATTTTTACCGCTAAAGATTTCCATTTGGAAAAAAAATTTCAGCAGAACAGAACAACAACAAGCTAATTTATGGCGGTTGCTTTGAAGCCAATACAAATTAAATTGGCTTTATAACTGATTTTCACAAAAGCGTAATAAAACTGCTTGGATACAATATTACTCTTATAGAGGCTATGAGAACCTTTTGTAGAGTATGGGGCTTCCTGACAAAAGGCTTTAAGACAGCTTTATTGTGATTCTCAAACATGCTTTATAAACCTTATCAAGAGTGGTCCACTAAGCTGTAAGACGATCTTATAGCGGTTATCAAAAGGTTGTGCTGGAGCTATTAATTTTATTGGCGGTTTTATGAAATTGATCTCAATAACCACTAATAGAGTGCAATAAAACAAGAAATGCTACTTGGGAAAGCCCCACGTTGCGAGAGCATTTCCAGTCGATGGTGTGTTATAATGCAATTCTTCTTTACCCAACTATTGTGTTGCTCCTCTCGTTGGAGCGATACGAAATCGGCATGTCTGAGGGAGGCACTCTTAAAGTGATCAGCAAATATCAAATACTTGAATGTGTCTATGCTAGCAGAGCGGGCACTAAGATGCATATACGAAGGTAATTCATTTTCATTACGGTTCGATCGGACAAATGACCAAAAACGCTTGGGATGTAAACATAGATTTATCTGCGTACGGTCAATATAACGAGCATAACGCGCAAGCTACATCTACATCTGCTTCCAGCTTGGCATTTGCGTTATTAGAAACGTTGACACTCTGAGACGTCATCCTACCATATTCCAAAACATTCTGGAACAACAGAATC